CGCCGGCGGCGGCGCGCGCGGCCGGCAGGGTGATCGCCACCCGGGTGCCCTCGCCCAGCCGGCTGTCGAGCCGCAGGCGGCCGCCGTGCAGCTCGACGAGCTGGCGACAGAGCGGCAGGCCGAGGCCGGTGCCCTCCTGCCGGTCGCTCTGGGCGCGGTTGAGTTGGGTGAAGGGCTCGAAGACGCGCGCCTGGTCCTCCGGCGCGATGCCGAGGCCGGTGTCGGCCACGGTCACGCGCAGCCCGCCGTCGGGCTCCGGCTCCATGGCCACCTCGACCCGTCCGCCGCGGCGGTTGTACTTCACCGCGTTGGACAGCAGATTCAGCGCGATCTGGCGCAGCCGGCGCGGATCGCCGAGAAAGGCCGGCAGCCGGCCGGCGCCCTGCAGCGAGAGGGTGACCCCGTTGCGCGCCGCCAGGGTCTCGAGCATGCGCGCGGCCTCCTCGAAGATGGCGAAGAGATCGCAGGGCCGCTCCTCCAGCTCCAGCTTGCCCGCCTCCACCTTCGAGAGGTCGAGGATGTCGTCGAGCAGTTGCAGCAGGTGCAGGCCGCTGGCCCGGATATCGGTCAGGTAGCCGCGGTAGCGCGCCGAGCCGAGCGGGCCGAAGACCTCCTGCTCCATCACCTCGGCGAAGCCGATGATGGCGTTGANNGCAGCTCGTGGCTCATGTTGGCCAGGAAGGCGGACTTGGCGCGACTCGCCGCCTCCGCCTCCGAGCGGGTGGCGATCAGCTCCTCGCGGGCGCGCACCTGGTCGGTGATGTCCTGCACCGTGCCCTCGAAGTAGAGCGGGTTGCCGGCCTCGTCGCGCACCAGCCGCGCGGTCTCGCTGACCCAGATGCGCTCGCGCGTGCGGTGGCGGTAGACCTCGGAGACGAAATCCTCGACCCGGCCGTCGGCCAGCAGCCGCTCGACGAAGACCGTCCGCCGGCCGGGGTCGACGTACCACTCCGCGCCGATGTCGTGCACGGCGGCGAGCTGCTCGGCCTCGTCGCGGTAGCCGTTGAGGCGGACCAGCGCCGGGTTGGCGCGGAGCTGCCGCCCGTCGATGGAGGAGCGGTAGATCCCGATGGTCGCGTGCTCGAAGATCTCGCGGTAGTCGCGCTCGGCCGCCGCCAACGCCAGGGAGGCCTCGACCTGGCGGGTGATGTCCACCGTGGTGCCGATGTAGTAGGCCGGCCCGCCGTCGGTGCCGCGCACCAGGGTCACCGTCTCGGAGATCCAGATGTGCGCGCCGTCGATGCGCTTGGCCTCGATCACGAAGTTGCGCACCTTGCCGTCGCGCGCGATCAGCGCCTTGAACTCCTCGCGTCGGCGCGGATCGGCGTAGAGCTCGTGGATGTCGGCCCGCATCATCGCCGCGACCGACTCGAAGCCGAGCAGCTCCGCCAGGGCCGGATTGACCATCAGATAGCGGCCCTCGGGCGTCGACTTGAAGATGCCCACCCCGGCATTGTCGAAGACCAGGCGGTAGGCGTCCTCCTCCGGCAGCAGCGCCCCCGCTGAGCCGGGCGCGCCGGGCACGTCGGGCACGTCGGGCGCGTCAGGCGAAGCGCCGGCGGCGGCGGCGGCGGGACGCGGTCGGCGGGAAGGCGGTGACGGCATGAGGCGCCCTTGCTTTCGCTCCGGCTGCGCCCCCGGCCCCCCCGAGGCGCCAACGGCCCGGGGCGCGCTGCAGCCGGCGACGCAGCTTCCCGCAAGGTATGCCCTGTTCTTTAACGCCAGACAAACAAGTGATTGCCGCTGCATATCCCTGCGGACCAGGAGCGGCGGCCACCCGCCCGGCCGCACACGGCCGCGCCCCTGCCCCCAGCAGCCTGTCCCCGGCCCCCTGTCCCCGACTCCCTGCCGCGCCGGCGTCCAGGCGTGCAGGCGCCCGGGCCTGCAGGCGCACCGCGCATTGACGCCGCCCGGCGGCTGGATTACCTATGCGCCTCCGTGCCACGCCCCCGCGCGCCTGCGGTCCCGCCGCAGGCCCCGCCGGGTCGCCGCGGTCCGCCGACGTAGCTCAGGGGTAGAGCAACTGATTCGTAATCAGTAGGTCGCAGGTTCAAATCCTGCCGTCGGCACCAGTTTCCCGCTTCCCCCGCCACGCGCCGAGGCCGCCCGCCCCAACCGGCAGAGAAGCCGGCCGGCAGGGAAGCGGGCCGCCAGAATATCGAACCGCTGGCGGCGCGCATCGCGCCGCCGCTGATCGCGCGCCGGTCCGTGCCACCCTGGCGCGACATCCGGCGGTTTTTCGCCGCTTTCGCGGCCGCTATTAACCTCTTGAGACGGGGGTTGCGGCATGATCGGCGGCATGTCTGCCGATCCGCCCAACGCCTCCTTGCTCGGCCGGTCCGACGCCGCCGTCCTGGCCCGTCGCCGCGCGGCCGTCTGCGAGCTGGGGGCCTTTCTCGACTGGTGGCTGGCGCTCGGGCCGGAGCCCGGGCGCGAGGCGCTGGACCCCGCCGCGCTGGGCCGCTGGCTCAGCCGCACGATCCTGCTGCGCCGCAGCGGGCCGCGCGACCTGGTCTACCGGATCGCCGGAGAGGAGGTGCAGCGCTTCTACAACCGCAACCCGACCGGCGAGTCGATCTGGGCCGTCTCGCAACGCGACCCGCGCCGCCACCGCGCCGCCGACATGTTCGTCGCCATGCTGGACCACCGCCTGCCGGTCGTGAGCCTCGCCCGGCACGTCTCGATCGACGGCTACCCCCGCGAGGCCTGGGCCTGCCTGGTGCCCTTCTTCGGTGCCGACGCGGCCCCGGACTCGCCGGCCCCGGACTCGGCGGACCCGGACTCGGCGGCCCCGGACTCGGCGGCGGTGCCCGGGTCGGGCAGGCCGCAGGTGCAGTTCCTGCTGGGGCTGATGCACTTCCTGGTCGATCCGCCCGGCGTCGACGACCTGACCCTGCACTGCCGCCCGCTGGCGGACCGCGCGGAGCTGGAGGCCTTCTGCGCGGCGCATCTGCACGAGGGTCTGGAGACCTCCTGACCCCGCGCGGCGGGAGCGCTACTTCTCGGTCAGCGCCGACTCCAGCTTGCTGGTCAGGCGGTCGGTGAAGTAGCCGAGGATCGACTGGCGCCCGAGCTGGAAGTCGACCTCGGTCTGCAGACCGGGCTGCAGCGCCAGGCCGGCGGTGTCGGTGATCGCCACCTCGGCCTTGAAGTAGATCTCGCCGCTGTCCTCGTCGCGGCTGGCGTCGGCGGCGACGCGCGCCACCTCGCCCTCCAGCGTGCCGTAGCGCACGAAGTCGTAGGCCTTGACCTTGATCCGCACCGGCTGGCCGGGCTGCACGGCGCCGCGGTCGGCGTCGGCCACGCGCGCCTCGACCAGCAGCTCCTCGCCGTAGGGCACCAGCGCGACCAGCGGCTCGTTGGGCGCCGCCGACTGGCCGGCGCCGGTGACGTAGACCCGCTCGACCGTGCCGGCGATCGGCGCGGTGACCTCCAGGCCGGCCAGACGCAGCTCGGCCTGGGCGAGCTGCTTGGAGACGGCCTGCAGCTCGCTGCGCGCCTCGGTGAGCTCCTGAAGCACGTCGACGCGGAAGTCCCGGTCGATGGCCGCGCGCGCCTCGCGCGCTTCGGCCAGGGCCGACTCGGCGGCGGCGCGGGTCTCGCGCGCCTGCGCCAGCTCGCCCCGCAGGTCGCTGACCTCGCGCTCCAGGGACAGGAATTTCAGCTTCGGGAAGTAGCCCTTCTCGGCCAGCTCGGCGACGGCGTCGCGCTGCTGCACCGAGATGGCGAGGGAGCGCTCGAGCTGGGCAATCCGCCGCTCCAGCGCGCGCAGCTCGCCCTGGCGCTGGGCCACGGCGCTGTCGGCGCCGGCCCGCTCGGCCGCCAGCGCATCGCGCCGGGCGCCGGCCAGGGCGCGCTGG